GTGATCTTCAAGGATATGCAGATAGTGACTGGGCAGGAAGTTTAGATGATGCTAAAAGTACATCATGTTATGTTTTCTCATTTGGTAGTGGAGTTTTCTCTTGGAATTCAAAGAAACAAGATGTGGTGGCTCAATCCACAGCTGAAGCTGAATATGTTTCAGCTGCAACAGCTGAAATCAAGCCATTTGGCTTAGAAAAATTTTGCATGATTTGAGGGAATTGAATTATGAAACTACTGTCATATGGGTTGATAACAAGTCAGTCATTGCAATTGCAAAGAATCCTGTCTAGCATGGTATAACAAAGCACATCAAGGTGAAATATCATGTCATTAGAGAAGTAGAGAAATCAAAGAAAATCAGTGTAGAGTGTTGTAGTTCAAAGAATCAAATTGTTGATATTATGACCAAAGCACTTTCCAAGAACAAGTTTGAATGTCTAAGATCAAAGCTTGGAGTATTCAAGAAAAATCTCAAGGAGGAGTGTTAGAAATTGAGTTTTTTCTAAAATACTTTAAGTAACTTCTAATTACTTTTTGGTTGGTGAAAATCCCTATTTTATGGAAGAGTAGGTTGTATGGTCAAAATGTTATGTAGAAAGGAGTGTTAATATTTATTTTGTGGAGATTTACATATCTCTTTTTGTATTAAAAAAGAAAACATTTATGGTATCAATGCACAACTGAGTTTTCTCCCTGTGTTTTGCTGCTGAACTCTGTATCACGCTCTGTTCTTCTTTGTTTCTGGTTTTATACTACTTTGTTGTTCTTCATTATGGAGTCGTATTTGAGCCACAGTTGGGTCATTGGATAAAGGGGTTGTATTACTTCCATTTTCCACCGCATCCCACAAAGTTTGTACTTTCAAATAAGTTTTCATTTTCGCAGCCCACAAATCATAATTTTCTCTCACAAAAACTAGAGGTGGAGGTAAAGAACTGCTACTGGATACCATTCTCTGTTATTGGTATTTTTTTTCTGGTTTGTATATAACTTTTTAACTGATTTTCACTCCCTCACAGGCCCTTAAAATCAATGAGCTCTTGATACCATGTTATAAAATCAACAAAATAACAAAGTAGTATAAAACCATAAACAAAGAAGAACAAAGCGTGATACAGAGTTCGGCAGCAAAACAAAGGGAGAAAACTCAGTTGTGCATTGATACCATAAAAGTTTTCTTTTTTAATAAAAAAAGAGATATGTAAATCTCCACAAAATAAAGACTATCACTCCTTTCTACCTAAAATTTTGGCCATACAACCTACTCTTCCATAAAATAGGGATTTTCACCAACCAAAATGTAATTAAAAGTTACTTAAAGTATTTTAGAAAAAACTCAATTTCTAAAAGTTCGTCTTGTTGTCAAAGGTAACACTCAAATGGAAGGCTTTCTTGATAAGTTCTCTCTTGTTGTTAAGCTTATGACCATTTGTCTTGTCCTTGTGCGCTTGCTACCATTCATCATTGGCACCTCAAGCAGTTAGATGTCAACAATGTTTTTCTTCATGGTGATCTTAATAAAGAAATTTATATGCAATTACCACCAGGCTTGGCTGCTTCTTAGCCCGGTCAGGTCTGCCATCTCCAACTTCCTCTCTATGACCTTAAGTAGGCTAGTCGTTAATGTTTTGTGCGACTCTTCTCATTTCTCTTATCCAATGGTTACAAAAAATCACTATCTAATCATTTTCTCTTTCTGAAGAAGTTAGGTTCCACAATCACCATTCCCCTTATTTAGGTGGATGACATTGCTTTAGTAAGAAACAATATTGTGGGAATTACTCATGTTATCTCTCTACTTGACTCTGATTTCAAGAATAAGAACCTTAGTGATTTGCGATTCTTCTTGGACCTCGAAGTTGCCCACAACCCTTTTGGCATACACCTATGTTAACATAAATATACTATTGATCACCTTTCCAATAATGGCTTGCTTGCCTCCCTGGCCAGCATCTCCACCCATGAATTACTCCAATCATCTACATGCTATCACTGGTACAACACTGCCTGATCCTTTTGTATATCGTTGACTGATTAGATGACTCATTTACCTTACCACTACATGTCTAGACATTGCTTTTGCTGTACAACACCTTAGTTAATTCGTTTCTCAACCTACAACCTCTCACCATCAAGCTAATTTTCGTGTTTTACGTTATCTAAAGCAAAATCCAATCCTTTTGTATATTAATTGTTGACTGATTGGACAACTCATTTACCTTACCACTACATGTCCAGACATTGCTTTTGCTGTACAACACCCCTTTCACCATCAAGTTGATTTTCGTGTTTTATGTTATCTAAAGCAAATCCAAGTTCTGGTGTTTTTCTCGAGGCTTCCAATGCCACCCAACTCAAGACTTTCAGCGACTCTGATTGGGCTAGGTGTCCTGAATCAAGACGTTACCGATTTCTCCATTTACCTTGATAACTTTCTTATGCAACTCTTCTGAAGTTGAATACTGCGTTTTAGCTTTCACTACCTGTAAAATTCAGTGATTGACATATCTATTAAATGACATTGATGCTCCTTTCATACGTCCAACTTTGATTTATTGTGACAACCAATCTTCACTTCAAATTGCTTCCATCCAAGTCTTCCATGAACGTACCAAACACATTTATATAGACTGCATATTGTTTGAGAAAAAGTCACTACTGATTTGATTAAGATGCTACTGGTCTCTTCTTTCTCATAGATTGTTGACATCCTTACAAAATATCTTTCTCCAACTGTGTTTTAGAATTAGGAATGACCAATATCTATGCCCAACTTGAGGGGCACTCTTAACCATATGCAACAAAATCGCACATAATTGCACCTCCACATTTCTTTTAATGTTCATTATAACCACTTTCTTTTATTCGGCTATTTAACTTTATTATTATTATAAATATATATTATCTCACTCTCCAAAATACAAAAGATTTTGTTTTGGTCATTACATGCATACATCTCTTTCCTCTCTTTTGTTTTTTTTTTTTCTTTATAAGTTTTGACATTGGTCCTATATATATGTTTATTAAGATTAAAACCTTAACCTATACTAATTACATGAAACTCACCAAAAAATATATTAATAAAAAAATACAATAGAAAATGATGGGATCAAACGTATGTTAAGACAAATATACAAAGGTTAAATCTATGATTAAGAAAACTTGGAGTATATAAGTTTTGTATTACTGACCTTAAAGTCCAAGTAATAGTATACAATTAGTATTATTAGAAAGAATTAAGAGCTAAAATGAAAAATGCACATTTAGTACCATCGAATATACACTTAATAAATTTTTAATATTTTTTACAAAATATTTATATTTTATTATGTTTCATTATCTTTAAAAAGTTATATTATCATACAAAGTTTGTTTATAAAAATTATTTTCCTATTAATAAATTTCCATCCTTTTATTTCATACATTTTAAATTTTTTATAATATTTTTGAAAGTTTTGTTCCATACATTGTTTAGTTTTTACCTATCTCAATTTGAATATTTTAAAAACCATTTATTTTTTATTTTTTATACTTTAAATATTCTTTCTTTCTTTCTAAAACCAAAAGAAATTATATATTTTATATTTTAAACTACAAAACTTCTAAAAAAATATTGGCTACATTTAAAAATTTATACATATCCAAATTCTAAAATCACATTTAAATATATATATATATATATATATATATATATATATATATATATCCATTTAATAAAATAAAATTGATTTATTTTTTAAAATTAATTTAAATTTGTTTTTAAAAATAATTTTTTTAATATAAAACTTAAGTTACTTTAAATTTAGTTTTAATATATAATTTGATATCCAAATTGAGCTCATATTGTTAGAGTAAAAAATATTTTCCGTTGAGATTTAAATTATAATAATATTTTATACGAAGGTAATATGTGATGCCATCTAATTAATATCAAGGAAAAATTTATCGCGAAGGAGATTGAGTCAATAACATTATAATTGAGATTGAACGATCACTCTTCATTTTCCTTTAAGTTGACAATGATTGTCAATACTACAAAACTATTATTAAGAATGATTTAATGACATTTTGATTCAGATAATTCAGATGAGGTCTCAATTAAAATTAATCCAATAATGTCCATATGATAATTCTCTAACTAAAATCAATTAAAAAGTGTTATGACTAGTTAATTTCTTAATATAATAATTAATTTTGACTTTTTTTTAATTAAAAGTATCTAATTCATTTCTAATTATTAGATTGGATTTTAAAAAGAAAAAAAAATTGAATATAAACCTGAAATTGAAATGAACTTATAAAGTGATTTTATTTAAGATAATTATGAGTTAATTTTGATAATTGGGTTATTTTTTTCACCCTAATTTTAAAGTGTGATACGATATAGGTAGGATGATCCACTTGTTTGAATCATTACAACAATTTATAAAAGGGAAAAGTTAAACATATACATCTTCATTTCATGAATATTTGATTTTAGGTATAAAAATTGATAAAAATAAGTGTTGTTGAGGTGTTTCTCAAAATTGTGGTAGTAGAAGAATGAACCATTATCAAAATTGGAGGCCCTTTACAAAAGTAATTCGAGATCGTGTGTGGGGTCACTCTGGCAAGAATTAAGCAATATCATCCTTGCAAGAAGAAACAATTGACATGAGAAAAGGAAAAGCTTACACATCCTGGTTCCTACCCCAGGATAGAACATAACTTCTTGAAGATAAAGAGCTAAAATTTCACATGTGATTGGGTGATGCATTAAGTTGTGGTAAGGTAACACACTATTCAGAAACTACACGTTATTTTATTTTTGGGTTGGGAGAGTGCTTTACAGAGAGAGTGAGAGAGACAAGGTTATCTAAAAAGTCTAATGTAGTTATTAATGGGGAAGTAAATCATTCAATGAATCAAATCTATATAACTAGAAGATTGGTATAATCGTATTGAGTGTGACAGTGAACTTGGCTTCCGCAGTTCCAAACTCTCTTTCCAACATCACCAATGGATTGGGACCTACTAATTAAATTCCATGTTTTCCACCGCATAATCATCATCGTAATAATGTCACTAAACAACTAAAATTACTCCACTTCAACTGAGTCTCCTCGAAATAAATACTGCGGATAATAAGAATAAGAAACTTCAATTTGAAGCAAAGTGATTCACATGGAGCTGTGGTGCCGGTTTATTATTAATTCCTTAAAGAATATTAGAAGAAAAAAAAAAGTAGAAAAATACTGATGAAGGTTGAACTTGAAGGAGTGTTATGTTATGTTACCCTCTTTCATTTGAAAATTCAGCTTGAAACTTGGGTAGCTAGGTCCTTTGTCAACATCAAGAGGCCATGCCAGAGAGACGTTTCTGTAATTAAGGTCACATACTCACATTCACGTTTTCCTTTGATAGCAACTTGCGAGCTGCAATGAGTTGAAGTTAAGATAAGATATGTCTTAAGAGTCAATGAGTTCAATGTCCTTCCTTCAACACTAACAGTTAATCGCTATACCAAAGCACGCTGTTGTTGTGATAATTTTCTTTCCTTGTCTTTTCACCACATACTGTTACTTTGCTTCTACTCTCTCACCGGAGTTTGGCTCTTTGCCGTGATGTGAAGCCTCTGGTTGGTTCCTTCACGTTGCAAAGCTTTCATCTTTGTTCTTTGTGCTATATTGGGCTGAATTGAGCTTGTTTGGATTGTCTGTGCCCATTTTGTGAAAGAAAACTGTTCAATGGAAACTGGATCGAGTTCGGAGTTCTTGGATAGGGGCAAAGCTATGAGGAGTGGCACTGGCAAGAAACACGACGTTGGTGCCGCCAAAGTTGAGCCCTTTGTCCCAAAAAGTGATCACAATCCTAAAGAGTTGAGGTCGTGGGCCAAGAGAACTGGGTTTGTGTCTGATTATTCTGGGGAAGCTGGGACTAGTGCCAGTGAGAAGTTCGATAGTGTTGGGTTTGATGTGAAGAGTGTTGATGATCAGAAAGAAGGAGGGTCCTCTCCCAAGATAGAGATTGATCCGGTGCTGGGGTTGGCGAGGCCTAATAGGGACAATGAGATTGAACCGGTTTTTGTGTCCAAGCATGGAGTCCTGAGAAGTGAGAATGAGAGAGTTTTGAAGTCAAAGGATGAGTGGAATGGGGGAATGTGGAGTCAAAACCAGAAGAGGAAAAACAGGGATGAGCCTACTTTGGCTTTGGCTGGTGATGGTGATAAGAAAGGTGGGTTGAGAGGGTATGGTGATGCTAATGTAGTGATGGTGAATACGAATCGGGATAGTAATAGCCATGGAGTTTCAGCAGTTGCTCCTCTTCCAGAGCAGAAGAAGGAGGAGGAAGTAGTAGCTGAAGATGTTAAGGTGAATCTCTTTCCAGAGGGGGAAGAACCTGCTACTGGAGGGTGGCAGGGACCATCTGGATTGAACTACGGGATCACAGAAAATCCGGGTCTTGGTAAGTTTGATTCAATATTCTGCTTCTCTAATCAAATCTAAGTTACAATACAAATTTTCGATAGTTCTAAAAATAGTCTAGTTATTCTAACTGGAATATGTGGAAAAGTTAATGTCTTAACTCTTATGCCGAACCTTTGAGCGGCTAGTCTTATTTTTTCAGCAATGCAAATTTCTGGCAGTAGTAATTTTGCTAGCTTAGGGTAACAAAATTTTGTTCAACTATGAACTGGAGATTGGTCCTCAACTTTAAATCCACAGATTTTGAATTTTAGTAGTGTAGTTTCATTTTATTTTGATAAATTAGTCTCATGATGATTCATGCCATCTCTTATTTGGATGAACATGGATGCCACCGAATTGGTTTGAGTGTTGTTCAACATGATATGATTAAAGACAAGTAGAGAAGTAATTAAAGTAGAAGTGTGAGAGACAGAGAGAGGACACATCTCTGTCATCTATCAAGTTATGTTTGATAAAGCTATGTGAATCTTCCATTTGCCCATTTTTTCATTAACAAAATGCTGCACTATTACTTTTCATAAGTAGCAAGGAAAATTAGTTAAATTCTGATTCTATGATTTGCTATGAAAGTAGTTACTTCTTTTGATTTACCTATCTTTAACTGCAGTACCTCTTATCTATTACGGCCTGCAGCACTACCTGTCATTGATTGGCTCGCTAGTATTAATCCCATTAATCATGGTACCAACCATGGGTGGAACAGATGTAAGAAATGCCTTTATGTAATGACCCTAGGAAAAATTATATGGGACCTTTCCATATTCATATGTATTGACTTGCCATCATTGATGACAGAACGATACTGCAAATGTAATTTCTACGATGCTGTTTCTCTCCGGCGCAACAACGGTATTACATTCCTATTTTGGCACCCGACTACCTTTAGTTCAAGGGAGCTCCTTTGTGTATTTAGCACCAGCGTTGGTTATCATAAATGCTGAAGAATTTCGAAATCTAAGGCAACATGTAAGCTCACTAATTGATAGGAAATGATATCAACTAATCTAAATCCTGGTAAAGTATACTATGTGTATACAAATTTTATGACTTGTTAACTTACATTTTACCCCTGTTCAATCCATTATCTATTTGAATCACCAGAATGGTCTTTCCTTTTTGCTTCTTTCTGTTTTGATGGATCTATCGGGGTCCCTTGTTTTGGATCAACCCAGTGAAGGGGATTGTTCTTCACGACTCGCATTTATTTTGATTTTTGTTCTTCTGGTTGGTAACTATTCATAGTTTCCATATTATTGTCTGCTTATGACTGCAGAAATTTAGGCACACAATGAGGGAGCTCCAAGGAGCTATAATTGTTGGTTCAGTATTCCAATGTATCCTGGGACTTAGTGGTTTAATGTCTCTTCTTCTCAGGTAATAAGTTGCATGGGACCATTCTTGTGTTCACCAGAGCTAGATTATCTTTTCATTTTTATTTAGTTTATTTTGTTAGCTTGCTAAGCTTCCATGTTGTTAAATAATTAATGTAAACAAATATGTAATCCATTAACATAATGCTAATATATGAACAGATGCATAATATCCTGTTTTAAATATTTCTTGAATTGTCTTAATTTAAACTTTGAAGCCTTTCTTTTGATCTTTTCTATAGTGGAAAAAAAAAACTATACAGTTGCAGTACCTCAGATTAAAATATAAATATCTTTAGTTTCTGCGACAATGCTGCATACTTTCAACTGGCTAGAATAGTGACACGGTCAATGCAATATGCCTTTCTTCTTCAGAAATCTATTTACATAATATACTCCTTGGTAAACGCATAGAACACTGAAGTCGCATTTTTGGTTATTTAGGTGGTCCTAAGTCAATCCTTAAATTGTTAATGAATCATATTTTGTGTCAAGTGATTGGCGAGGCGAACCAGTGGTTCAACTTTCTGTTACTTAATTATTGTCTCTAACATGGCTCTTGGAATATGTAGCGTAGTTTAGCCATCTAGAAAAGAATAATGAACAGAATAAGCCAACACAATTATAGGGGGCATTTGGTAGAGCTTCTAGAGAGCATTTCTGACCACATAAAAGTGTCTTATCGAACTTCTTATATGCTCAATTTATTCGTTTCAATAAATTTCATGGAACAACCTCTCAAAATGGTTTCTTTGTAGCTTCTTTCAGCAAGCATTACAGAGTAAAGCTATGTATGAATAAGCTCTCCTGTAATAAGCTTTTACTAACTAAAAGCTAAACAAAGCTGTTTATCCAAATGTGAGCTTAAATCACACAGTGTGAATTTGTATTGGTGAATGAACTGAACACAAAAGCTGTCAAAACTTGACTCTAATGTGCTAATTTTTAACAACTTGTTATAGGATCATCAACCCAATTGTGGTGGCTCCAACTGTTGCTGCTGTAGGTTTAGCATTCTTCAGCTATGGCTTTCCGCAAGCTGGCACTTGCATGGAAATTAGCATTCCGCAGATAGCATTAGTTCTAATATTCACACTGGTGAGTATTTCAAGAAGCATAGATAATGAATAATCTGGTGCATCAAAAGTCTTTGCTGGCTGTAAAGTTAGTGACATAATAAAAAGACTTAGTCTGTCTGTCTCTTGTAAACAATCCATGAACTTCGGCATTTAGCCTTTAAATTAATGATTTCAGTTGTTTACGGAAACTCATGTTTCTTTCTTTTATTTCTTATTTGAAGCATCTTCGAAGAATATCTATCTTTGGACACCACACATTTCGAATTTATGCAGTAAGTATCTTGAATTAATATGTTCCTAGTTTGAATTTTTTTTTTTTTTTTTGTTTAAGATATGGCACAAACTATGTATAATTTATGTGCTTTGTTTAGATGATTCTCCTTCTCTGACAGGAATTCATACATAATATAATAGATATAAAAAGTAATGGTATAATTTGCTGGTTTCATTGTGTCTGGTCATCCTTTAAAAATTCAGTCTCATACCATACATTGTGAGGAAAGAAGATAATTACTTCAGCGTAATGACTTGTGTGAAATAAAACTGATGAATATCTGTGGAGCAGTTTATATAGAAAGCTAATCCTGAAAACTTATGTAAATATCACATTAAAGTTGGTGAGTAATTTTCAGCAAGGCTCCAGACTTGTCTTCAGGAAAATACAAGTTACTGTTTTTAAAAATATCCTTCTGTTATAAAATCTGTATTTAAATAGATTATCATTCAATATATTAGTGAATTCTTCTCCTTTCAGTTATGAGTGAGATTTCTTCTACCAACATATACTAACAAATTATGTTGACAAGCTTTCGAATATTTGCAGGTTCCTTTGAGTGTTACATTAACTTGGATATATGCGTCGTTTTTAACAGCTGGGGGAGCATACAACTACAAAGGATGCAATCCCAAAATCCCAAGTTCAAACATTCTGACTGATGCATGCAGAAAGCATGCTTATACCATGAAACATTGCAGGACTGATGTATCCAACGCGTTGTTAACTTCTGCATGGCTCAGAATTCCTTACCCTTTACAGTGGGGTTTCCCTATTTTCCATTTTAGGACTTGCATAATCATGGCCATAGTGTCGCTGGTAGCTTCTGTGGATTCAGTAAGTACATTATTATCTGCATGTATTATAACTGATGTAATATTCTGTATTTGTACCAGTATAATGCTAGCAATAAAGATAGTATCATGGATTAGAATTTATTACAAACACCTTTCTTAAATCGTAGGGTGGATTTTCATGTTGAAAGCAAGGATCAACATGATCAGAAACAAAAATTGTGACCAAGTGAATGACAAGTTCATTTTGCAGGTTGGAACTTATCATTCTGCATCTCTGCGAGTCAATTTGAGGCCTCCAACTCCAGGAGTCGTGAGTCGAGGAATTGCATTGGAGGGTTTCTGTAGTATATTGGCTGGTCTTTGGGGTTCGGGAACTGGCTCAACCACCTTGACAGAAAACATTCACACTATTGACACAACAAAGGTGGCAAGTCGGAGGGTAGTGGAATTGGGAGCAGCATTCATGATTCTCTTTTCCTTTATGGGTAAAGCACCAAAACATAGTGACATAAACCATAATTTGATGTCAAAAACTACTAAACATCCTTTTCATTTTGCCGCTAAGGTCCAATTTATGCCTTCCTAATTTGTAGGAAAAGTGGGTGCTCTGCTTGCTTCCATTCCTCAGGCCTTGGCTGCTTCTGTACTGTGTTTCATTTGGGCTCTTATAGCAGCTTTGGGCCTTTCAACCTTACAGAATGGTCAATGTGCAAGCTTCAGGAACATGACAATAGTAGGTGTTTCATTGTTCCTTGGGTTATCCATCCCTGCATATTTTCAACAATACAAGCCTCAAACCAGTCTGATACTGCCCCCTTACCTCGTACCTTATGGGGCTGCATCTAGTGGACCATTCCATTCTGGCATTAAACAAGTAAGCACTTTCTCTATGCAGACACTCTTTGTCAAATTAAGTTGTATAACAACGGAAATAAGCCCAAAGGCTATGTGTGAATATCCTAACATCAAGTGTTACAGTAGATGTCCTAACATGAATATGTAGTAGAATGTCAAGTGCTTTCATTAAATATTGAATGTCAACCTACCATATAGACCAAAATTACGCAATTAAAATGAAGAGATTGAATTTAAAAACAAATGAAAATACCAAATTGAAAAAATGACGAAAGTAGGAGATCAGAAATGCAATTAAGTATACAAATTTATAGCAACTATACAACACTAACTACTACATTCTTTTCTGGTGAAGAGGAGCTAACATGCCATTTTTATTCTCTCTCTCCCTAATGTTTCAGCTTGATTTTGCAATCAATGGTCTTATGTCCTTAAACATGGTGGTTACACTATTGGTGGCATTCATACTGGACAACACTGTCCCAGGAAGTCAACAAGAACGAGGGGTGTATGAATGGTCACGACCCGAAGATATTGCAACTGATCCTTCACTGGTATCCGCATATTCTTTGCCAAGGAAAATTGCTAGATGTTTCGGTTGGGCGAAATGTTTGGGAGTCTGAGTTCTTCTATTCATGGACTCATGTTAAGATTCACTTCTGATCCCTGGAGCTTAGAAGATATTGAAGCTCATGAAGAATATAAACAAATATATATACTTGGATTTAGTTACAGCAAGGGCAAATAGGAAATAGATTAGCACTGATTATGCTTGTGAATTATACAAATGTTTTACATAGGTCAATTCGTGATCTGAAGACAAAACAAAAGAGAAGTTATTGTCCTTGTACATTTATATTTTTTTAATTAATAAATGGTTCAATTTTTGTAGTTTCAGTTGATATTTGAGGTTGCAATGACTCACTGACAATTGAAAATAATGCAACAATTCCATATTTGGAGTCTTAGGCTTAACCTTCTAATGACGTTCTTGTTGACTTCCTGGTTCATCAAAGCAAAAAGGAGACGAAATCACAAACTTCAGTCTTCGTTATCAATGTCTGCAAAACAATTTAAATAAACGAAAACAATAGGTTCCATCCTTCCCTGGCAACACTGTAAGTATGCCGATTGTGTTCCTCCATGACTCTTCTTATGCTCATCTCACCATTGAACTCACAGTTGATGGACATGCACCACATTGCTAAGTCCACAACTCCCTTTGCTAAGCCTTATTCTTATGAATCTAGATTTTTTTTTTTTCAATCATAAGAAAATGATTCAGTTCTATAATAAAAGAGTGCAATTCTCAAGAAGCAATCAAAAGAGTTATAGCACAAGGTATTGTTACTCCTTGGAACATTGAATACTTATGATTGTAACATTGAGTAATTCTTAAAAGAGGAGGTCCCATTCAACGTTTGCAAAACATAAGAGGTTTCTTAAAATATTTTATATTGGTTCACTCAACCGCTTGGTTACATCTAATTCTTAGCATAAACTAGATGAGTTCTACTCAACTAATATACAATCACAATCAACAAAATAGTATACACTATCTATCTACCTCAAGAGTTTCTTACACATCCAAGAATCATTTTTTATTCAACCAGTAACCCACATCAGGTACTACCAATATTACAGAAGACACCCTAAGTGCAAAATCATAAACTCTAAGTAATCTCTCCAAAAATATAAAAAAAATGCCTCAAGAATGTTTTGAATTAAACCATAATGAAAAACACACATAAGTCTCTCAAAAATCTCTCAAAAGATTGTTTAAAACTTTTCATAAGTCTATGTTTAAAAAGAGAGATCGAAACTATTTATATAGAATAAGTTGTCCGTTTTAATTGATTAAATAATGTATTTAATCAATTATTTTCACTAAAACAATCAATTAATCGATTATTTCATTATTTTAATCGATTAATCTTATGAAAATTTCAATCAGTTGTTATGATAAAAACACATTTAATCAATTAAAAGAAAACAAACAAAAATTGTTCTGAGTATAGAAATATATTTTAATCGATGAATAATGAAACTAATAGATTAGAATAGTGAGGCAAAGTTCTTTCATGTTTTAGTGGTTAGTTTTAACTGATAACACTTCTAATTAATTGATTAAAACAATGAAGTAAAAACAACAAACCACATTAAGATATAATAATATTTTAATTGATAACAAAGTGGTTTAATGGATTAAAACAACAAACCACATTTTCCAAAAATATCACCAAGAATATTTTAACGGCTAAAAAAGTGGTTTAGTTGATTAAAATTTTGAAACACAATGATGTTTAAGTGAAATTAATAGATTGTTTTAAATTTTTATCAATTCAAAAACCATCTAAGAACATTTTAACAAATTAAAATCAGTTTTAACATATTAAAACAATTATAAACCAATATTTATTAGAAAATTGAGGCATTCTTACTAACTTAGAGTATGATTAGCTAGAGATGGGATTAAACCATACATACCATGATTATGACCATTGATTTTAGAAAGGCCAAATAATATATTAATAAATAAATATAAAAGAGTAAAAGAAGATGAAAATGTGAGAGGATAAAATTATAAATATATAAAATGATAATTAAGTTTAGGGGGCTAAAATAAAATATTACATGGGAGTTACAAAACTAAAAGGAGGGTGAGAGGATAAAATTGTAAATATATAAGTAAATATATTAAATGATTATTAAGTTTTGGGGACCAAAATCATATATTATATGGGAGTTACAAAACTTTGTGGGGTCACGACCCCTTCGGTTCCCAAAAAGATCATTATACCATCATGTTCTAGACTCACATACACAACAAGACATAACAATATATGATACCTTTAGGGATGGAAAAACGAGTCAATCTGTCCCATTTTGCCCCACCAAAAATGGGGTAGGACAGATTGGCGGGTTGATCCGTTATAATTTTAAATTTTTTTAAATTAAAATTTTCAATAAATTTAATAATAAGATTACAATTTGTTTGTCAATAATTTAACATATATATTTTAAGTTAATAATATAAATCAACACATTGTTTCAAGAAATTATAATTTAGAACAATAATAAAATTTATATAATAATAAATATATATAAATAAAGTCAAAACTTGTAAAATTTATACTTTTTATATTGAAAAATTCAAATACATATATTTTTTTATTTGATAAAACTTGACATTGTTCTCCTCCCTTTGAGTAATTCTTATACATTTAGTTCAAGTCATAAGAATAAGAACAATCATAATGAACAAGGAAGAGATGATGAATAACAAGGAAAAGAGGAGAGAGGAGCTTGTGTTTAAGTAAGGAGAATATTTCCTATAATAAGTGAGAGTGAGACTTTTTTAATTCTCTTGTTATAAATTTTAACTTTATATATTATGTTTATGATTAACTATATTACCATAAAAAATTATTTTTTATTAATTAGACGTACTACAGGCTGGCCCGTCCAGTCCCTCGAGCTGGCCCAAAGAACTTGGTGGGGCGGGCTAGAGCAGGTTAATGAACTGAAAACACCAACCTGCGGCCGCCAGACCTAGCCCGTTTGTAGTCCCTCCATTATTAGTAAAGAAAATAACTTCTATGTTTGGTTTATCAAGAAATATTGTTACTATTATGAGGTTTTCAACATTGTCATCATATGCATCTCCATCAATGTCTCACCTTTTAAAATTTCCTTGATTATATCTTCATTTTTCCTAACCAGAAGTCATAAGTTATGCACACAAACTAAATCTTTTACACTTTTAAGATTCTACTTATTTCTTTTCTATGAATATATAAACAAGTAAGTGCTCCAATTTCTTTTATAACAAGATAAAAAGTATTGTTGCACAACACGTTTCAATGCTAGCTTTTGAAGGAGAGGGACCTTTAACTATGCATCAGGCACACATATCTAGGATCTAATGTCAAGTTAACATATTTAAGTGCAACACTTATTCTATCCTTCCTAGTTAAAAAAAGTTATTTTAAACATTTATTCTTCTCCCTAGAAATTTCTTCATCCTCATGTGGTGAAATTCTATTTAAAGTCTCTTGGATTCATTCTCCACTACAATATCTACAATTAAAATTTAAGAAAAAAATATATTATAAAAATAATAACTTTCTAATTACTTGTATATATAAATTATAAAAAATTGAGTATTGATATGATAATCTTACTTGAGATTCAAAGAGTGAGGAATGCAATAAAAAAGAATACAACTTTTACTCCACTAATCAATTAATATACCATAAAGAATTTCATAAAATGTTAATTTATTATTTTCCTCTTTCTTTTCTTGTTCATATATGATTATCTTCACTTTTTTTATCATAAGATCCCACGTCTCATAGATTAGATGAAGTGTGAGACTATCTGTATCACAAACTGTAAGCATGTTATAGATAGGTTTAATAAAAGTTAAAATATATGCAATTTTGTCCCACTGCATATATCATTTTAAATAATATTTGTTACAATTTGAGTCTTGCTCACAACATCTTCTCTATTACATTCACTACAAGAAAAAACATATTTAGCGACCGATTTAATTTTGGTCACAATTAGCGACCAATTTAGTGACCGATTTAATTCGGTCGCAATTAGCCACCGATTTAGCGACCGCTTTAATTCGGTCGCAATTAGCAACCGATTTAGCAACCGAGTTAATTCGGTCGCAATTTAGCGACCGATTTAGCCACCGAAATATGATTTGGTTTCACTTTTTTATTTAGAGACCGAAATAGCGACCAATAGTTTGCGTCGCAAAATTTTGATCGCTAAATCGGTGGCTATTCCATACTAAAATAAAAAAATCACTTAGCAACTGATTTAGCGATCTGAATTACAAATTGAAATAGTGGCCGAATTGAAATCGGTCAGCTAATGAGAAAATAGCGACCGAATTAAAATCGATCAGCTAATGAATATTATTTTTTTATTATATTTAAATTTATTTTTTTATAAATATACTTTAATTATTTTAGTATATTTTTTACAATTTATTTTTTAAAAGTAATTTATTTTTGAAAAATAATTTAATTTTTAAAATATACTTTAAAAATAAACTTTGGTCTCAATATTAATAAAATGAAGATTAACTTTAATTTTAAATTACTAAAATAAAAAAATTATTAAAAATAAATGAAATTTATTAAAAATTTAAATTGTAATAAATTAAGAAAAGAGTGATATTAACTATTCAATACATTATTTAAGAAAAATTTAATAATAAATATTCTTTAATTTATTTTTTAATTAAAAATTTCAATTGAAATTAAATTATATTTTAAAAATTTATATTAAAAAATTAAACACATCAAATTATCCCATTTTAATTCCTAATTAACTTAATTAAAAAATTACAATTTTAATCAAATTATTACAATTTTATTTTATAATACTTTATTTTTAATCTAATTTTTAAATTTATTGCTTTATTATTATTATTTACTTAATCATGGTTGTTGTCATATAATTGATATACCAAAAAATATTTATATCAATATACATTAGATAATAAATATATTATTTAATTAAATTATTAATAAAAATATATTTATCTTTAGTTAAAATATTTTTTAGTTTAAGTATACTAATTAATATTTTTCATTTTTAA